CCTAGTTGAAGGTGATGCCGAGGATCTTGCTGGCTACCCCATTGGCGACAACGGAGAAATCCTTGATGACGATGGTGATCTTGTTGGTCGCTGCGAACTCACTCCCGAGTTGGCAGACCAGCAGCTCGGAGATGTCAGCGGCAAGATGCCCAACATCAGCATTCTCAAGGGTCTCACCGCCGACCGATCTGGTCAAATCCTCAACGAGGACGGTGACTTTGTTGGCCACCTTGTCGAGGGCGACCCAGCCGACATTCAGGGTCGCGAGTTCAACGAGAACGGCGAGATTCTTGACGATGATGGCAACGTCATTGCCAGGGCTGAACTCTCTCCTGAAGCCGCCGACCTCCCTGCGTACCAGCAGGATGATGATGAGGACGAGGAAGAGGAAGGTGATGCCCTCAACGGCGTTAACAACGCTGCCGAGCAAGCCAAGGGCACTGCTACCAACGCTGCCGAAAGCACCAAGGCAGGCGTTGAGGAGAAGGCTGCTGACATTGAAGACGAGCTTCCTGGCGTCGAGGCCCTTGAGGGCATGGAAATCAACAGCAGTGGCGAGATCCTCAACGACGATGGTGATGTCGTTGGCAACGTTGCCGAGGGCGACCTTGAGAATATCGAGAACGTCAAGGGCCTCACCGTCAACGACAAGGGCGAGGTCGTCGACCAGGACGGCAATGTTCTTGGCACGGTTGAGCTCGCTGAGGGCGCCGCTGATAAGCTCAAGGAGTCTGCCGCTGGTGCTCTCGACACCAGAATCTTGGACGGCCTCAAGGTCAACAAGAAGGGCAAGATCCTCGATTCTGACGGTGAAGAGATTGGTGAGCTCACTGACGGTGACCTTGAGAAGTGCGCTGGCAAGAAGGTCAACGAGAAGGGTGAAGTCCTCGACAAGGATGGCAAGGTCATCGGCAAGGTCGACGTTGTTCCTGGCGAGGCTGCCTTCAGCGCTATCAAGGCTCTAAAGGAGGAGCTTGGCGAGCCATTGGAAGAGGAAGAGGAAGAGGAGGGCGAGGGTGAGCCTGAGTTGAAGGAGATCACCCCTGAAATCGATGAGCTTGAAGGCTTCAAGGTCAACAAGAAGGGCAAGGTTCTCGATGAGGAAGGCGAGGAGATTGGTGAGCTCGTCGAAGGTGATCCTGCCAAGTGCGCTGGTAAGAAGATCAACGCCAAGGGCGAGGTCGTCGACAAGGACGGAAACGTTCTCGGCAAGGTCAAGGCTCTGCCCAAGATGGTTGATGCTTCCCAAATCCAGGAACCTGAAGTCAAGCAAGTTGAAATCACCCCAGAAATCAATGAGCTCGACGGCCTCAAGGTCAACAAGAAGGGCCAGGTTCTTGACGAGGATGGCGAGCCTATCGGCGAACTTGTCGAGGGCGATGCCGCCGAGTGTGCTGGTAAGAAGATCAATGCCAAGGGTGAGGTACTTGACAAGGACGGAAACGTCATTGGAAAGGTCAAGACCCTTCCCAAGATGGTCGAGCAGCAAGTCGGTGAGGCTGAGGAAGAGGTCGAAGAGGGTGAAGAGGAAGCCGAGGAGGCTGTCGACGATGATGGCCGCCCTCCTCTATCAATCCTCGATGGCCTCAAGGTCAACAAGGCCGGCAAGCTCATTGACAACAATGGCAACATTGTTGGTGAGCTGATCGAGGGTGACGCCAAGAAGCTGTCAAAGTCTGGCCTTACCTGCGATGCTGAAGGCCAATTCTGGGACAACAAGGGCAAGGTCATTGGCCGCGCCCAGACTATTCCCCAGGAGGAAGGCGAAGAGGAATCTCCTTTCGCTGGTCTCGAAGGCCTTGTTGTTGTCAAGGATGGCTTCGTCGAAGACGACAAGGGCAACCGCGTCGGCCAGGTCGTCGAGGGCGATGCTAAGAAGCTCGTTGGTCGCGCTGTCGATGAAGACGGTGACATTCTTGACAAGAAGGGCTCAGTCGTTGGCCACGCTGAACGCTACGATGAACCCGAGGAGGAGGCCCCAGAGGAGGAGGCTCCACTGGACCTTTCCGCCCTCGCAGGCCGCACTGTCAACAAGCAAGGCAATGTCATCGGCGATGATGGCATCCCCATTGGCCGTCTTGTCGAAGGCAATCCCAAGGAGCTGTCTGGCCGCAAGATTAACGAAGAGGGCCTCATCTTCAACGACACTGGCAAGCAGATTGGTCGTTGCGAACTGATCCCTGAGGAGGAGCGCGAATCCAAGCCCGAGGGTATCTTTGCTGGCCTCGAGGGTCTCCGAGTCGTCCAGGGTGGCATGGTTGCCGATGAGGATGGCAACACTGTCGGCAAGATCGTCGAAGGCAATGCCAAGCGTCTTGTTGGCATGGCCGTAGATGAGGATGGTGACATCCTTGACAAGTACGGCAACGTCAAGGGCCATGCTGAGCCTCTCGAGGATGAGGAAGAGGAAGAACCCGCTGACCTCTCTGTTCTTGATGGTCTCACTCTCAACAAGCAGGGTTACCTTGTCAACAGCGAGGGCATTCCTATCGGAAAGCTTGTCGAGGGTAACCTTGGTGAGCTCGCCGGACGCAAGTCCGATGGTGATGGTCTCATTCACGGCGATACCGGCAAGGTTGTCGGTCGCTGCGAGCTCATCCCTCCCAACGAGCGCCCCGAGCGCAAGGAGGGCCCATTCGCCGGTTTCGAAGGCCTCCGCGTTGTCAAGGACGGATTCGTCGAAGACAACGATGGCAACCGTGTTGGTCAACTCACTGAGGGTGACCCCAAGAGGCTCGTTGGACACACTGTTGACGAGGACGGTGACATTATCGACAAGTACGGCAATGTCAAGGGTCACGCTGAGCCATGGGAGGAAGAGGAGCAGGAGGAAGTTGACCTTAGTGCTCTTGCTGGCTGCACTGTTAACAAGGCTGGCAACATTGTCGACTCCAGCGGCGCCGTTATCGGTCGCGTCGCTGAGGGAGACCCAGCCACTCTGGCCGGCAAGAAGGTTGACGGCAAGGGCCAGATTTGGGACAACGAAGGTAACGTTATTGGTCGCGGTGAGCTTGTCCACGGTCACCAGTCTGGACCTGAGGGACCATTTGCTGGCTTCGACTCTGCTGTTGTTGCCAAGGATGGTACTGTCCAGACTCCTTCTGGCGAAATCATTGGCCGTGTCATCGAGGGCGACATCAAGAAGCTCGAGGGACACAAGGTCGACGAGGATGGTGACATCAACGACAAGAACGGCAACGTCATTGGAAAGGCCGAGCGATGGGAGCCTGAGCAGAAGGAGCGCCGTATCAACCCCATGGCTGGCATGCGTGTCAACAAGGAGGGCGAGGTCCGCGACGAGAACGGTGACGTTATTGGCCGTCTCACTGCTGGCGACCTTGGTCACTGTGCTGGTCTTGAGATTGACGACAACGGATATGTTGTCGACAATGACGGTAACAAGGTCGGAGAAGTCACTCTCCTGGAGAACATCCAGGAAGAAGAGGAAGATGAGACCGACGAGGAGAGGCAGCGTCGTGAAGATTCTGAGCTCGCCAAGAAGATGTCTGCCATCTGTGAAGACACTCTTCAGCGTGTCCAGCCTGTCATGAAGCAAATTACAGAGGTATGCTTGATGATAAAATCTGCTTTTCCTTTTCACGAACAATCACTAACTCGCTTCTAGTACATTGAGCAAGCTGACCGCACACCACGTGACGAGCTCGACGAAGAAGAACTTGTCAACAACGTCAAGCCACTTATCGAGGAAGGATCTCGCATCCTCAACGACTGCAATGGATCGCTCCGTGGTCTCGACCCCGATGGCCGTATCGCCGCTCAGGCAAAGGGCCGTCAACAGACTGGCGAAGCCTCACCCGAAGAGTACAAGCTTGCCGATAACCTCAAGGAGCTTACTACCACTGTCGTCACCACCATTGACAACGCTAAGAAGAAGATCTCCGACATGCCCCACGCCAAGAAGAAGCTCAACCCACTCTGGGCTCTCCTTACCGAGCCTCTATTCCAGATCATTGCTGCCGTTGGCTTGCTGCTAACTGGTGTTCTCAACCTTGTTGGCAGACTTCTCAACGGTCTTGGTCTCGGTGGTCTCGTCAACGGTCTGCTAGGCGGACTTGGTATCAACAAGCTGCTTGGTGGACTGGGCTTGGGCGGTATCACTGACGCGCTAGGCGGCGGCGACAAGAAGAAGAAGAAGGGTGCGAGCGGACCTATGAGCATGGTCGGTGGCCTGCTCGGGAAGAAATAAACGTCTTCCTAGGTAACATGGGGAATTCCTCTCCTCTCTCCTCGTCCCTTTGCTCAGCTTGAGATTTTTTTTCTTCTTGATATTTCCTTTGCCATTGTTTTCCTTTCCAAATGCCGGAGTGCACAATAAGAGCTGGAAGATCGGGGGGTCTGAAGGTCACACCTTTTTGTCGCGCTGCGGCTGGTGAAAAGAGAAGATACGAATTGGGCTTATCGACGAGAAGAGAAGGATTAAGTTGAGCGAGAGTCGAAAAGAAAGAGAAGGGAAAAACGAGTTGTTTTTGTTGTTGTTGTGTCTTTCATCAAAATCAGCGTTTGGGTCGTTTTTTTTTCGTCGTTGAATGTTTTTTCTCTCTCATCGGTATGTTCGATGGACGCATCGAATCTTCGCCACCACCATCGCTTACTTACCATGATATCATGCCGCGATTTTCCAATACTCTTTGAGGCCTCAAGAGTCACTTGGATTACTTTTCGTGTGAGCATCTTTGGCTATTCGACCAGCCGGGTTTTCCTTTGTCGCACACCGAAGCAAAAAAAAATGTTTTGAAGTTTTTTAGCATTGGCGTTTTCGTCTTGTTGATGAAGGACATGATAGCGAACTTTTTAGTTATCTCTGTACGATAGTCCAAGATTTAGTAGATGAAGTAATTAATAGTCTGACTTTATCATATACACCACATTCTCTGTCCTTTGCACTTTGTCTATGTACAAAATCACCTTTCTCCCCCCGTCCGTCCATTCATCCATCCATCCATCCATCCATCCATCCATCCATCCATCCATCCATCCATCTACATCAACACAGCCGCAATCCCAATCGCCAACCCAACCACCCCAAAAATCCCCATCTCACTCCTCAAACCCCCAGGCGCAGCATCAACATAAGTCACCACCCCCCTCTTGCCCACACCCTCTCTACTCTCTTCTTCTTCATCTTCTTCTTCATTCTCCTCTCTCTTCTTCCCTCCCTTCTTCTTATCCCCCACATTATCCGTAGGTTTACTCCCAGCCACCCCAGTCGGCGTCATAATTTCCTTATCCGTCGGTTTCGCATCCCTTTTCTTCTCCTCCTCTCCCACCTCATCTTTCCTCATCTTCATCTTCTTCTTTGGATGAGGACCCAACTTTTCAGTAGGTTTCGACTCGCCACCCGTCGAAGTCGACGTGGCGCCGCCTATTGTCCCCGTATTAGGAGCTGCTTCTGCTGCGCGTTTGTCTTTTGCCGTTTCTGTATGCCGCTTTTCGGGGGCGTCTGGGTTGAGGAGGTGGAGGGCGCGGTGGAAGAGGCTGTTGCGGGGTAGGGCGATGCAGAGGGCGCTTCCTAGGTGCAGGTTTTGGATGGGGTGGGTGGGGGACAGGATCGAGGCGAGGGGGTTGTTGAGGCTGGGGTGAGAGGTTGGGGCGTAGACGGTGCAGGATACGCTGGCTGGGTTGAGGTCGGAGGATGTGGTTGTTATGCTGAGGTTGCAGATGGCGGAGTCGAGGTTGGGGGTGAGGGGGGTGAGCTGGTTGATGGGTAGGGTGATGGTGAAGGGGTGGGGTCTTGTTGGGTGGTGGAGGAGCAGAGAGTTGCGGTTAGGGTTATTGTTGAGGCTGTTGCCAGGGATGGGAGGGATATCAGAGAACGAGACAAAAAGATCTCAGAGTGTTTAAGTGATACTCGAGTGGTTCTTCCCTTGGTGTTTTGGTTTGCCTTCTTTTTCTTGTCGATTCTTCTTGATATATATACCCATTTACCCCCCCCCCCCCCCCCCCCCCCCCCC